CATTAGCAAGATACATAAGTGCACCAACTGCACCGAGATAGAGTATTTTAGGACCAATGAGTTCTCCATCCTCTTCTGGAGGTCAGAACAGATCCTTATTCACTTCAAGTGACCCATTTGGTATACTTAATGGGTGCACGCTGTCCGTGTAAAAGCGTTTAAAAACCCTTTCTATAGATCTCGTCTGCTAAATATTCAATTTGCAGATCAAGACAAAATTTTATTTTTTCAAGATCTTTCATCTCAAATTCTTTCTTAAGATATTCAATTGCCTTTTGGAGCTCTTCTGGAGTTCCAACAAGATTTATGTCATCAACATAAACAACAAGTATAATAAATTCTGATGTCATTTTCTTTATAAAAATACATGGACAAATAACATCATTTATGTAACCTTCTTTCAGCAAATATTCACTGGGGCGATTATATCACATGCGATCAGATTGATTTAAATCGTACAAAGACCTTTGTAATCTGATCGAGTACACTTCTCGAGACTTTGAACTATATGCTTCAGGCATTTTAAATCCTTCATGGATCTTCATATAGATTTAATCAAATGAGTCATATAGGTTATGCCTTACATTTAAATGGCATGACATCTTCAGACTGCAGATTTAATCAAATGAGTCATATATGTTCAAATAAAGACGGTAAAGTAAATAAATCGAAGACAAGTATAGAGAGAGATTGATATATTATTCAATTTCAAACTGATGTACATAACAAACTGAAAACTCCTCTATTTATAGAAGAAAGGAAGCAGCTGCGAGGCTTTTCTTAAGCTACTTATAAGTTGTCTGCATGAGCTGCTTGCAACCTGCCTGTTTAATAAGAAGTTGCTGCAAATCATTTCATTGAGTTGCTTGCAACCTGCCTGCATCAGATGCTTGTGGATAAACTTCAATAGAGTCCCAAACGAATAATCTTCTTTAGGAAGATTATCTATAGCAGAGTAATAAATGGACATCCATATTATAATTATTTTCATAACAGATGTCGCATTATTGGACTTTTTTGTTTACATGAGCTTGATATTTGCTTAACAAGTAATAAGACACGATAAAATTGATGCAGGAAATTGATAAATGGATGAAGATAAGGGATTTTTCATTGAATTGTTTTTCGGCCTAGATCTTTTGAATGTTATATATCATTGACAATTTTTTATACTATTCTTTATAGCATAACTTAATGGCTAATTGTTGATAATAGTGTTTATTGTTGACTTATTTATGTAGTTCTCTCAATATATCACAAGTAAATTTTCATGTCATGGTGAAGAAACATTACTATACTAGATTAGGAAATTTGAAAAGAGAAATTAAGACTAGTTGAAAAAACTTATCTAAGACAAATGCGTTTCGTTAAATTGTTTTTGTTGCTATAATTAATTCATTAAACATCGATACCATTACTTGAAATTCTGTCTTACATCATTGCTATGAAATCATAATCCCAACTTAGTTAAAAAGAAATCAAGCAACAAATAATAAAATAAAAAGGGGCCCCAGGATGTTTTGTCATCCTAAAAGTGATAACTTGGTCAAGTCAATCCTTGAATGTACCTCCACCTCACTAAAGCTTTACTCCCTCTCCTCAACACTATTTCCACGTACCTTCTCTTCTAACGCTTCCATCCAAATCGCAATGCGTAAGCAGTGACAAAATCCCAACAAACAAATTGGTTATCCACAGCTCTACACCCACGATTAACTTGCCGACACGTGTCCTCCTTCTTTATTTTTATATTTTATTTTTCCCCATTATCACACACGTTTATTTTAGAACCCGCCGCCTTCTCTAGACACGTGTCCTTCTCTCCTCCTATATATTCCCTTCTCCCTCTTGTGTTCTAAGTTTCAACTTTCAAAGCGTCTCTCACTGTAAATCAGTATCTACCCACTCCACCTATCAATCAAAAGAAAGATAAATACACAGAGAGTCAAAGAATGGCAGCGGTGGAATTGCAATTGCCTCCTGGATTTCGGTTCCACCCAACTGATGAAGAGCTTGTGATGCATTACCTATGTCGAAAATGTGCGTCGCAGCCGATTGCTGTCCCGATTATTGCTGAAATTGACCTGTACAAGTACGACCCATGGGATCTTCCTGGTAATTTCCTGCAAATGAATCATTCTGTTTTTTATACTAAAGGAAGAATTTTAGTTTCCCAAACTTGCAACTTTATTTATGTTTTCTTTTTGTGGTTTTAGGTTTGGCGTTATATGGGGAGAAAGAGTGGTATTTCTTTTCGCCACGAGATCGGAAATATCCGAACGGTTCACGGCCGAATCGAGCTGCGGGAAATGGATACTGGAAGGCGACGGGTGCAGATAAGCCGATTGGTAATCCGAAGCCTGTCGGAATTAAGAAAGCTCTGGTATTTTACTCGGGCAAAGCTCCCAAAGGAGAAAAGACGAATTGGATTATGCACGAATATAGGCTTGCTCATGTTGATCGATCTGCTCGTAACAAGAACAATAGCTTAAGGGTGAGTAAATGAACCGAATTAGACTTTTGATTGAGTGTGTTTAACTTTGTTATTGTGGAAAATTATTCTTTGACGGTTGTGATTTGAGTTTTTGACTGATCCAACGGTTGTTGCTTTTCTTGTTGACAGCTAGACGATTGGGTTTTATGCCGAATATACAATAAGAAGGGTACAATGGAGAAGACCCAATTGAATAGTCGAAAAATGAATGTTGGAATGTCGCCGCCGTCGAGCGAGGTGGATGTGAAGCCGGAGATTCTGCCGTTGCCGATTTCGATCTCGACAACGCCGTCGCAGGTTTACAGTGACTTTATGTACTTGGATTCATCAGATTCTCTTCCGAAGCTTCACACTGATTCCAGCTGCTCGGAGCACGTGCTTTCGCCGGAGAGAGAAGTTCAGAGCGAGCCGAAATTGAGCGATTGGGAGAAAACTGCCGTCGACCTTCAATTTAATTACATGGATGCCACCCCAGACGTCGGAGATAACAGCTTGCTAGGGTCTCAGTTCTTGGGCTGTTATGAAATGTCGCCGCTTCAGGATATATTCATGTACCTGCAAAAGCCGTTTTGAGGAAGATAATGGACCCCACTTTGAGTTTCCGTCGCACGTGCAAAAGAGACCGAGGTCAATGACTGGGCACGTGCGGATGTTTTGTTTGTAGAAATAGGACTAGTATCTTCGGCTTTTATTTCGATTGCGTAAAAGAAAAACTTGGTGTATATATTAATTTATTTAAACTCGAAGAAAAATAGAAAAGAAGTCGAAAATGGTATTTTTATTATAGTACATAAACATGGAATTTTTGGATGGTATCTTGACCTTTTATCCTATCTTTTAATGTTTGATATGCTCCAAGTATTCCCTTGAGCAAACATTCTTTATAGCTACTCGGTGAAAACAAATGACAACTACTAGTCATAAAATAAGGTATACAATTCATAGTTCAAAATTAATTATAAGAACTAGCAAGTGAAACCCAGAAAATCAGCGGAGACTCACTCCTCAATGCAACCTTCTTTTACACTTAATATTAGTATTCAAAATATTTAAAATCCCGCCAAATCACCCCAAAAATCCTTCAAACTTGGTGAAATCCCCATCAAAATCCACCCTTTCAGCCCAAAATTCTATTAAACCCACTCGTTTTCTCCATAACCACCAAAATCTCATTTTTTATCTTTTACTAAAAAAAATCAATTTTTAGTGATCCAATCTACAAAAATATAATATTGCATAAGTAAAAATACCCATGATATAAGAAGAGGAAGAAGGTGATGTATAGTTTTTACACGTACTATACATATTATACACTAGTATAAAGTGTATATACACTTTTTATACATCGTCGTACAATATATATACTATTATACACTTTATATACAAAATATATACAAAATTATTTGAACATTGAGTTTGTATAAAAAGTGTATATGCATTATATCAGTGTAGATACACCTTTCATATAAATGTGCATACATAATATATACACATTATATACAATATTTTCAACACTCACCATAGTCACCGTAATCTTTCACGTCCAGTTTTGTATAAAACGTGTACAATAAATGTATGATTAGTGTATAATGTATACACAATGATTATACACTATATTATATAATTATTATACACTAATTACACAGTGTATAAATAAAGGAGCGTTGACAATAATGAAGGACACCGAACTTGGCCAGAAAAAGCTTTTCTCCGGCAGCGGCTATTTTATTTTTCATTTTTCACCTTGCAAAAGTCATCCGAAAAAATATCATGCAATACTATATCTGAAAGTGGACAGAAAGCGAAGAAAGCGGCAACCACCGCCAGACTTTTGCCAGAAATTACTTAAAGTATAGATATTTCTGTATCTAAGTAAAAGAGGAAGAGATCGCAAAGAAAAAAGAGAATTAAAAAAAGCGTGTGTTGGAAGAGAAGAAAAGAAAAAAGAAAAAAAAAGGAGGGAGTGAAGAGGAAAAGATAAGAAGAAAGGGAAAGATGGAAGATTGAAGAAAATGAGAAGAGAGAGAAGTAAGCGGTTGAAAGAATGAAAGTGTATTGGGAATAGTGGTTATAACTTGTCGATAAATTTGGCCTAAAGGCTATTTCGGATCCATGAAGAAAAACATGGGCTAATAAAATTTTGAAGGGCTATAGAGGATAGTTTTCTCTATTCCCTTCCTGCAAATGGGCTTTAACATTCTTCTAATCATTTTAGTAATTTGGGTTGAGAATTTTATTTAAATAATTTAGTTAACTAAATGATTCCTTCGCGTAAGATTAGATTTTTTCAATTATCGCTTGAGCTTTGGTCGTAATGACAATTATGTTCAAATTGTAAATCCAAGAATTTTAAATTATATTAGAATACATCATTACTGCCAATATTTTTTCTTTTCTAACTGCTCCCTCTGTTGATGAATGACCTTATTCCATTAGGATTTAAAGAATCCTGCGTAGCCAAAATTGAATCAGAAAGGAGTAAAGAGGAAACTCAACAAAAAACAAACATGATAAACTTTAACGCCAGGCCCTTTGCACAGGGATTAGCTTTGGTATTTGCTACTACTTTGCATCACAAATACACTGCTGGGACGTAGAATGAGCATTACAACAGATTTAAGAGGGAAAACGGATCATCCGTTCTTCTCATCGTCATCTCTTTTTTATATTCGTATTTCTAAGAACTGCAGAAACTGTACAATTTGGTGCTTAAAAGCTAAGTGTAAGACTTACCTTGTACCGTGGGAACCTTTATCAACTTCTCTGTGCTTGCAAAAATCTTACTATTTTACAGTAACCCCCACAAGTAGCAATGCTTTTAGATACAACAAAACTTGGACTTTACCCCCCAACAGCTCTTGCATTAGGCTGGAATGTGTAGAGATTGTTCTTTACCAGGTCCAGCTCCGACTTTGGGTCCTCAAGTTGCATGATTTCAGTCTTGCTTCCCTTCACTCACCTTCGCTGGACGTCCTACTGGACCAGGTAATCTCAATCTCTAGCGTCCGTGATGAGCCATCCTTGTTGCTGTCATGGCTGAGGCTGAAAAGACCACTATACGTCCCTTCACTAACAACTTTATCAATTTGGATTGTTACCCTCCCGATAGTGCTCTGAAACAAAGTAATCATACATCACAAGTGGTGAGTGTGATATTAAGTAGGAGTGACCATTCTGTTATCTCATCATATTGCCAAATGACGCACCTCACAGCGTCAAACCCACTTTATATATCATTTTCACTATAAAGTAGCAATGCAGTTGGTAAAATTGGTGTATGTTGTAGCTGGAAGTTAAATGGGTAAAGAACATAAACTTCACATCGGACATTCAGAACATAAAGTTAGTTACCTTCCCAAATGTGTTTTTGCTTTTGCACAAGATATGCAACTTTTGTCCCTTGGGCGGTACATCAAAAGCCCATGTGAAGCCTTCTTTCCATTCTGGCGTCGTACTGTTACTCACAACCTAATCATAAACCATGGACTGTCAAATATGAAATGTAGCTGACCTGGACAAGAAGCTTCTGAATTTATAGGTTCTTTAACACATTGCTAAACCTTATTACTTATTAACCGTTGAGACTTAATTTAGTACTCCCCCCGTTTCAATTTATGTGAACCCACTTGACTGGGCACGTAGTTTAAGAAAAGAGAGAAGACTTTTGAGCTTGTGGTGTAAAATGAGGCACATATATTCTATGTGGCTATAAATCATTGCATAAAGATAAATTGTTTCCAAATAAGGAAATTGGTCATTCTTTTTGGTACGGACTAAAAAGAAATTAGGTTCACATAAATTGAAACGGAGGGAGTATTTTCGTTTGATCTGTTGGAAGTTGCAAACAAATATAATCAAGTAAACTGCAAATTGAGTAAAATTTCAAAAAGAAAATGAAAAAAAGAAAAGAAAAGAAACCACACAAAAATATCACAGAAAATATTCGTAGCATGAGATCTTTTAATTGGTGTGCAATCTGCATGTTCTTAATATGATTATCTACAGATATCCATGGATATCCATGGAACTCGGAGTACTTAATACACATACTCTAGAATAGTTGAAGTAGGCTGTGATAGTACAGAACTGTCATCTCATGATAAGCAAAAGGCTTCAAAAATGAAACAGATTACAGAATAACAAAAACCTTTGTACTTCATCAACAATCATAAAGTTGCTGGCTCATTACCTTTGTTTGCCGTGATGGACCATTGCCAATAGTCAATTGACAAAAAGCATTTGTTCCTCCCATCACCTGTTTTAAATTGTTTGCACGCTTGATGGTGACTGTCAAACAACCTGGTAAGCTATGCAACAGGCTGTCTGCTCTATCGTGGAAACTTGGTGGGCAAGTTTTCATTAGCATCTGTAATATGGGGATGGCTTCAGCTGCAACCATTGCTTGGGACGTAGACACATCCATCGGCATGGTTGACCAAGATTGCTTGAGTAAGCATAGTGTGGTCAATACTGAATCCTGAGCAGCCTCACCAGAGTTCAATGCTGCCACAAGATGAGGGATACAAAGTGTAGCAGCGTCAGAAACATGGAGCTTGGGAAAATTAGAAAATATTACATGAATGGTCCGCAGAATTTCCTCATTAGCAGTTGCTGTGGCCCATAATTCCTTCTCCAGTGCAGCTGCATTTCAAGAAATTATATAATGTTTTAGGCAGATAAGAAGAAAAAGAAATACTTGTACTACATTTTGTGACAAGAAGAATGGAGCAAGAAGGAGATGAGAACAAAAAGCACACAACAAAGATCTAGGATTTGGTTATCTTAAGAAACAGATCATGGGAATTGAACCTCCAAATTCAAAGATCAGAAAGTTTTACTGCTGCATTTGAAATGCTACAAGCAGAACTAGTCAGCTGGAAATAACATACCATTGCGGAAACAGTCTGACATCTGGTTGCTTCGTATACAGGGTTTGTTTTATGTATAACATTAGGCTTTAGGTCTATCAATCTAGTAAGCTTATGTTTTCCTTTTGGCTGCGGTACAATTCTTTGAAGCACTATCTTTAGTTTACAGAACTAGCTTCTGAAGTCACACTGAGAATCTAAAGCTTTCAATTAAGTGCTAGCTCCTAAAGTGACACTGAAAAAGTACAGCTGTCAATTTAGTGCTTCAAGCCTTAACCCTAACTTCAACTTGTGTGGACATTAAAATCAGATTACTTAGAAAAATTGCAGCATAAAATTCCTGAGGTAAAACATTGGAACATAGATTTACATCTGAAGACTCTTTTCTGGGTTTTCAGCAGATTATATATAACATTAGTTTCAGATAGGCTTTGGTTGGTTTATGTTTACTTCCATAATAGTTCTTCACAGGACATATCTGGCATCATTTCAACAGGCTTCCAGAAAAAACTAATGAATTAATAAAACAGAAAAAAGTAGTGAAGAAAAGTACTAGGAGTAGCAATGTTACCTGTCAAAGATCTGATAAGCTCGTTTGATACATATTCTTGAAGCGTGTGATTTGAGAATAAAAACCTTATGAGCAGAGATGCCTGTACTGCAATTTCTGAATTTGGGGCTAAAAGCAGTTCTTGAACCATTAAGATTCCACCGGCTTCTGCAACAGCTCTCCTGTTGGTTCTACTGCGCATTACAAAGTTTTGCAATGCACAAATTGCCACCATTTGCATTTCTTCTGTTGGTTGATCTTCAAGTAAACTTATCAGAGCTCGACAGGCTGAGACAGAATCACTCGCTCTAGCTAGTCCTTCATGCTGAGAGAGATCACCAAGAGCAAGAGCTGCAAGAAGCCTACCAGATTGCGATCTAGTCTGTGGATCCAACAAATATTGTGCCAGAGGTGCAATTGCATACTTGGATACCTTCAGCTCTCGTATCCGGACATTGTTGAAAAGAGCTTCAAGCAATTTTCCTGATGCTTCTTCACACTGGTGAGATCTTAGCAGATCCAAGAGGGCGTCTACTACACCAGCTTCAGCCATCAGTTCTGCACTTGAAATATCAGTCTTTTCATAAACTATAAGAGCATTCAGCGCAAGAGTAACAGTGCTCTCGACTGTTGAATGCAGCATCTTTACGAGAACCACCAGCGGAAGTTTGAAGTAGTAATCGGAGTTAGAGCATAGGACATTGCAGAGAACCATAGCGGCTGACTCCCACAATGCAATAGGCGGTACAGGGTCATCTTGAACAATAACCTTTGCAAGCTCAAAAATACCACCAGCATCAGCAACTGCTTTTGGCCAGCTTAATGAGATATTTTCCAAAGCCCTAATTGCTGTCTGTTGCAAGTTCAATATACCAATGCCTGCGAGCTGCACAAGAGGCACTACTGCATTTTTCGTCGTTATATCCTGNTCTGCATCTTCAAACTCTGCCTGCCATAACAAATTTTTCTTCAGTTCGCTTAACCAAATAAAAATATAAAAAGAGCATGTGAACCGTCATTACTTCCAATTGGAATGGAACAAAGGTGACAATGAAGCAGTTACTTGGTTATCCTTTTCTTTATTTCATTTTTTTTAATTTTGAATTTCTGCAATTTCATATCTGTTGCCAAATATGAGAGGGTAAACTTGCATATTCAAGTGCTCGGTAAATTTTCCATTTAGCAACTCAAGTGGTTGCTAAAAAGATCCAACATATGTCAAGACATAATAGTGATAAAGATCGCCTTAATGTGAATTGAAAGAGACAGAGAAAGCAGAAAAATAAAGGAAGATGAGAGATGGCACTTCCAACGAACTCGCTTTGATCATGATCTAAAAACAGGAAGTGGGACATAAATGCTGGCCCTAATTCCAGAAGCACGCAATTAATGCAGATAATACTTCCCAGCCATGTGAATAAGTCAGGTAAAAGAGATATTCAACTGTTTTGATTTGTTTTACAGTACTGACCTCTGCAATCAGCCTATACCAAAGCCAACACAAAAGAAGAATGAACAGAGCCAAGGTCCATAAAATAAAAGTACTCAATAAAATTAGCCAATCAACACTTATTCTTTTCCAAGTCAAAACCAAGCAAGTTCTTCAAAAAAAGGGGTGCAGCACAAAGCCCAATACTGCAACCAGGGGGTCAGGGGGAAGCATACACCACACGAGTGAGATTTGTATAAGGTCTACCTGTAGAGTGGAAGTGTGTCTAGCAAGCTTGTCGGCAAGGGCCTCAAGTCCCCCCGCTTCCACAACAGTGGACTTGCTATTTATATGAAATGATGTAATTATTGATAGCAGCCAAAGGGCAACAGTACCCCCCAAGACTGTTGCTGGATCAGGAACCTCAAACTCATTTTCTTCCCCGAATGGAGTTCTTTCTGTGAAACCTCTAGGGGTTCTGACTTCAATTTCTAAGGAAGAACAATTGGAGTTTTTCTTCATCATGTCAACTAACGCATATATAAGAGGTTTCAAGTATCCAGATGCATTAAGTGCATCCATCGACTGAACTTTATGTTCCTTGGCAGCACAAATGACCAATGCTGTCCCACCAACTCTTACTTCTAGACTGCTAGAATTCATTATTCTATCAGCCAATGCACCTATCGCCCTGGATCTTGATACTAACAGGTCACCTAGCAGAATTGGTTGATCTCCACAAAGCCTGGATAAAATTTCTATTACTTTATCTTGGACAAGGGGAGATCCCTCACAGAGGCAATGTATAAGAGGCTCTAAACTAGATGGAACTTCAGCAAGGGCAGTCCATGGGTTGTACGACGAATGTGTGCCTTGTTTTGTCCTAGCAAGAAGTGCAATAGCATCTAAAGCATCTGCAGCATCAGTTCCATCTGCATTCACCGCTTTTAAGGATTCCGCAATAGCAAGAACAGCAAATCGACACTGAGCAGTTCCTATCAGTACATCTCCCACTGGAAAATGCATCAATAGCTGATGAAGCGCACGTGACGCATTTTTTNCGCACGTGATGCATTTTTCTTACCTTCGAACGATCCTTCTCCTAAAACTCGGGTCAAAGCTGAAACAACATCTTCAGCCAGTGCTTCTGCAGCTATCTCTGGATCAGACAACAGATTGGCTAAAGCAGCTATTGCAGTCTCTGCAGAATCAATAGATGCAGTTTTGGCCAACTTAATTAGTGGTCTTACATCCCCTTCAGCAATATAAGGCATCTTGTTTGTAGATTTTGCTTTTGTTGGACGGGACAAAGCACCCAAGGCTCGAGCTGAATGTGTTGCAACAACTGGAGTATTGCTAGTCAAAAGCTTCATGCAAGGATTAACCACTTCATCTGTTGCGAGGCTATCACAAATATCATGTCGAGTGCTGAATATGTCAGCTAGGACAGAGGCAGCATATTCTTGAGTCTTTTCATTTGAGGAATTTAGAACTTTGACAAGTGACCTTAGCCCTTCGTTAGCAGCGGCCCCTTTATGCACAAGGTCACTCTGAGATGCCATGGTAAGCACATGACCTAACACCTTAATTATATGGGCCTTTGAGCTTGGTGAATCTCCCTTTAGTAATACTAGCAATTGATTTATGGTAGCCGAATCAGCAGTCGCGATTAGCTTTGTTAGGGCCCTAGCTGATGCTTCTTGCCCCTTTGGTCCACCATTTTTGAGAAGCCACAAGAACGAATGTATAGCTCCAGCACTTTCAACGCAGGCACGGATGTCTTCACTATGGCAGCACAGGTTATACATAACATGTGCTGCATCTTCCTTAGCCTTCTGAGACCCCATTTCTAGTAACTGAACAAGTGGCGGAATCCCACCAGCGGCAGTGATTGCCCACTTGCTGTCATCAACTTGGTCAGTTAGGATAGCAAGCATCTCAACAGCATACTCTTGATGTTGTTCACTGGATAACCCCAGCAGTGATATCAGTAACTGAATCCCTTCTCTCTTTCCAATTGCATCCCAGACACTCACACCATCACAACATAACTGTATCAGGGAGAGTATCAGATACTCTTGTACATCACCGCTGGCCATTGTTATGAGGCCCGTAAGAACCTTCTTAGATTCTGATTGGTGGACCAGATTTGACAGATAAGCATTGCCGTAAAGACTTGCCATGGCCTCAAGGAGACGTTCCTGGACCAACTTATTATCCCGTGGTTTTAGGAGCATTATTAGAATATTCTCAATCTTTGTTGCATCAAAAGGTTCTTCTTCTGCATTGAGCTCAAAGACCATAAGAGCATAAGCAAGTGCCCCAATTATATCAGCAACAGGAGCAGCTAACCTTGGGGACTGAGAAAGCTCCCCCAGATACAACACGAGGGCACACATTCCACCACATATATTGGATAAAGCTTTTATTGTGTGCCACTGAAGCGTCTCCCCTCCTTCGCCTTGCATACATTCTTTGGAAGGAGCTAAAACAGCCCCTATGAGAATTGGCACACCCTGTGAGTCAACAATAGCTTTCTTTGCTTTGGTTGATTTTAGAGAAAGAACCTCTAAAGCCTCAGCTGCACTGGCACGAACAGTTACATCATTTTTCTGATGTAAGAGGCTTAGGAGAGCTTTGATTGCTCCAGAATCAATTATTTTTGGAATGCTATCACCGAATGCCAACATCACTCGGGCCAATAGAGAAGCTGCATTTGATTGAGCTGAAGCATTATCAGAAGAAAGAAGTCCTACAATAATGTCAACTCCACCACCCTCAAGAGTTGCCTTCCAATGTCCATCTTTATCGCCACAGAGATTTCTCAAAGCCCCAGTCACAAACCCTTCTACTGTTTTATCCTGCTTCTGTTTTGGATTAAGCTGCTCCCACAAAGTTGGTACTACACGTTCTGTAACAAATATTTTAGTGCCGATAGGATCATCTGAAAGTCCACTAGATGACACCTGAAAAATTGCTTCTGCAGCTGCCTTCCTTGCTTCAGTGGAATCCGACTTCAACAGTGAAAGTAGAGGTGGAATACATCCACCTAGAAGAACCTTCAACCGCAAGTCTTCATCTTTACATAATACACATAAGGTTGCAGCAACATTTACTTTTGCCAAAGGAGTGCCATTTCTCAGAATGAATATGAATAGTGGCATTGCTTGGCCATGCGAACAAATAAGACCTCGTGCTTCCTTTCTTGCTTTGGATATGCCGAGCAAGCGTGCTGTAGTAAGTTCTTTTTCATGTGGAGAAGATTTATTACCATGCAGCTGCTCAATAAGTTCAGCAACCCTTGACATTGTCTTTTCCGGATCATCCATTTCAGCAGTTTCATTGGCCTCACTGGAAGTTTAAAAAAAAAAAAGGGAGATAAATTCAGAAAAGCACAGCAGCCTGGAAGTAAAATCTACTTAACTTCAAGCAAAAAAAGATGAAGAGTTGTGTGGAACAAATTTAAACCAACCCACAAGCAGCATATGCCACATGGACATATCTAGCATGCACATGAACAGGGGGAACAGACCTGGTCTTCTGAGAAGAGGATGAAACCTTCCTGTCCCTCAGTTCAGGGGAAGAAGATTTTGACATTGGCAACAAGACTCCACCTTGACACTTTTCTTGCTTCCAACAGAATGTGACTACCTTATGGTTAGTGTACCATTCAGTTTTGCTTGATCAATGCCAACTCAAGCCTAAAGAGAAAAGAAAATTCATTAAAGAAAGGGAAAATGTGGATAAAGATTTGCTCCCTGCTTTGCTTCACCTGAAATGGAATCAGGGAGGAGCAAGAGGCGGGAGAGGAAGAAAAGTCGGTATATATATCCTCAAAACCGTCTCTAATTTGTGGCAATAAATACCCCCAGAATTTTGGTCTAGTGATATGAGCACAGTACGTGAGGTATGTGTTAGGTGCAGAACACGGGTTCGAACTCAGCCGCAAACAAAAGTCTGGTATTTAAGTGGAGAAGGTCAGAGGAGCGGGCCAATTATCCATGGAGTTGCCAATGACCCTCGTGAGTTTCTCGGTTATCAAGAAAAATTATGGCAACAAAAAGTTTCCAACTTTACATTCCTTTGCTAATTATGATTTACAATAAAGAACCAAAGAGAGAGGAAGCCATTCCCAAAATTATGAAAATGTTTCAAATTCCCAATCCAACATAATCCAATAGAAAACACACTTCACAAACTTAAACTTCAAGAAGCTAATAAGAAAGAATAATAAAAAAACTTGACAACTTTGCAGAATATACTTAAACAAAAAAGTGCAACTTACTGCAGTCACAAAATTTCGTCTCAATGCTGCAAAATTGAGCTCCTATGTTGAAGTTTAACAATTTAGAAGCTGGAAAACCCCCGGCTTTCACCTAAAAATTTTATGTAAACACATTTATGTACAGAACTGTACAAGATTTGAACCAATGGGGAAAGTAAGCTTTTTGCCAAGAAATTCTGCATAAACCCCCAAAAAAAAAAAGATTAAAAAGATTAAAAATCGTACCCAGATCTTCATTAATGACATGTATGTTCAGGTGAGTGAGATTCTTATAAATACGTATATACGTATATGTATGTACTACATGCATATATAATTTGGTAAATTGGGGATTACTGAAATTGAGAAAAATTAATTAATAAAAGCTGTAGAAAAGAACAAGATAAAGAGATCAGATCAGAGGAAAGCATTCCAATGAAAATTTCAGAAAATGAGATGAAATGATAATCTATTTATGAATGTATACAATAAGGGATCAATCCATTATGACATGAAATAAATAACTTAATTTTCTTTAATGGGAAAAAGTAATTCAATATAAAAAGAAAAGGTTCCAGAAAAATGTACCTTTTTGTGTGAAATTAACTGTTCCAGCAGAAGAAGAACATCATCTATGGAGGGAGACAAGGAAGCGTAGAGAGAGAAAATCTGTGTGTGAGAGAGAGGGAGAGTGAAGTCTGCTCTTTTGCTTTTTTCTTCTCTCTCTCCGTATTTTTTCATTTTCTCTTAACATAATTATATTTTATAAGTATTTCCTTTGTATTAAAGTAAGGGATTGCTGCACAAAAATTAATGTTTGCTTTTGTTAACCGATATATATAAATTATATATTGATTATATAAAATTATACATAAAGTTATATATATCATAGTATATTATAAGTATGAATATCCAAAAGTTGAATGTGAAAGACCAAAATAACTCTACAAACTTAAGTGACTATGATACCTTTCAAATATACCTTCATAAATAAGTACAATAACCAAACTTACATTATTAGTTTCATTGTTTTAAAATATCGAAAAATGTGAGGTTGTGTACTGGATAATGAAGTGCAGACTAATTCAATTACTTTAGGGAAAGGATAATTCAAGAAATTTTAATAAAAAAAAGAGTAATTATTATCTTCAATTTAATATAGAAAAGAGTAATAATTAAGTATAATCATGAATAATGTTGCTAATTATTCATGTTATTCCATGAATACAAATAGGAATAAAATCTGGTTGGTATTTCAGGGTTCTGAGCAATCTGCTTAGATAGTCCATGGCTAATACAAATAGGAATAATCCAACTGGGATTTGCCGATGATCTACTGTTGTTCTGTAGAGGTGATGAAATATCTATCCACGTGCTATACGACTGTTTCATGGAGTTCTCTAGGGTGTCAGGATTGAAAGCAAACAAAAGCAAAAGTTCTATTTACTTTGGTGGAGTAAGCCTAGAAGTGCAACATGCTGTTGTGGATAAACTTGGTTTCACCAAAGGAGTACTTCCTATTAGATATTTGGGGGTCCCTCTAAGTACAAAGAGGATGTCTGTTCTACAATTTCAACTACTGTTGGACAGGATGATAGAAAGAATAACATCATGGACTGCAAAGTTTTTATCATATGCAGGACTAATTCAATTGATCAAAAGTGTCTTATTTTCTATCCAAATCTACTGGTCACAAATCTTTGTCTTCCCAAAGAAAGTTATACAACTGATAGAAGCAATCTGTAGAAAATTCCTATGGTATGGGGGAGTTGATATATCAAAGAGAGTTTTAATGGCATGGGACAAACTGTGCCAACCAAAAGTTGCTGGTGGGTGGAACTTGCTAGATATATCCAAGTGGAACAAGGCCGCTATTTGTAAGTTACTCTAGAATATAGCTCAGAAAAAGGATAAGCTATGGGTGCAGTGGATACACATATACTATGGGAGAGGTAGAGATATAAGGGAAATAGAACCTAAACAGGCTTCGTGGATGGTGAAGAAGATCCTGAAGGCTAAGCAATACTTGATTGATGCAGGCATAAATCTGACAAAGATTCTCGATATGGAGAACTTATCCATCAGAAACTTATACATGATGCTAAGAGGAGAACAACAGAAAATGCCATAGAGAAAACCTGTGTGCAACAATGGAGGAATGCCCAAATGAATTTTTATCTTTTATCTGGCTATCATGGGCAAGCTGATCACTAGGGACAGATTAGTAAGATGGAGGGTAACAAATGACTTACAATGTCCTTTGTGCAACGTCAAAGAGGAGAGCATTGAGCATCTATTTTTCAAGTGCACATATGCAGAGTCCATCTGGAGAAAACTACTACAATGGATGGGTATTACAAGACAGGCCATGGAGCGGAAACACGAGATAGCTTGGGCATATTGCCATGCAAAGGGTAGATCAGCCAACGATGAGATATACAGAATGGCTTTAGCTGGCTGTGTCTACTATGTATGGCAGGAAAGAAATCAGAGGATCTTTAGGGCACAACAGCGACAACAAGGGATGATAGTCAAGCTGATTATCCAAATGATATGTGGAAGAGGCCATATGCTGCCCAGACTCAGAAGAAGACTAGAAGAGTTAAACTTTTATCCATGACCCGGAGCTGCTGAGGAGTACCACACTACACTTGATTAATTGATTGATAGTTAGCTATTAGTATAGGTAGTATAGGATGATACTAAGTACTGGAAAAATGTTCAGCCTTAGTGAATTTTTTTTTTTGAGATGTAAATTTCCGCTTTGGTAATAAAATTTGATAATTACCAAAAAAATATTGCTAATTATGTGAATGTTAGAGTAAATAAAGAGCATACTGATACAATTATCATTTATGTTGCTACAATTATCATTTAACCACAGAGACATAGCTCACCATAAAGTTGCAACCTTTTGGTTCCCTCAATAAATGAGAAACTAACTATATATAGTTTATATGCAAGTACATATTCTTGCGATCAAATTCAAATTGTACGTTCATTCGAGAATTCAGTGCAATCCCCACCAAAGGATTTGAAGGACGTAATTATCCATTTATTTAGGTAAACAATAACTTCTTTTTATCTTAATGGTAGTCATGTATTTAATTCTTGATCCTATGCTTAAAGTGTAAATAATACCTTTTGATAAATCCAAAATAAGAAAAGCGAAAAAGGTGAGAAGGAAAATAAATTTGTATGTGCAGGGAAGCAAGAATTTCTCCATCAATTTAAATATTAATCTTATAGCATATGTCTCTAATTACAATCTAAGTATAAACTTGTCGTTCCTAGAGTAGTATGTTGTTAACTAATTTTATTTTCTAATTTTCCGTTTAGAGTATTCAAGGCTACAAAGGTAAAGAACATTATCGATGAGAAGCCAACTGAAGAGAAGAACGCAGATGTCCAAGTCAAGAAGAAGAAGAAGAGCCAATTAGTAGTAGTAAAATCCTATCAATCCATTTACTTTTTGGTATTTAATTTTCTATGTACACAATAAGTAAAATTGATACATTATTCCTTCAGAAAAGTTTATTGATTTTACTCATATGTTGGTTCTTTTTTT